ACGTACTTGGTGGGGAGCAGGGATGTGGCGCTGGAGTTTGGTGGTGGGCCGGAGTCCTTGGAGCTGGTGGGCTACGCCGATGCTGATGATGCAGGGGACAAGCAGAACAGGACCAGCACAGGTGGCTCTGTCTTCGTGCTCAGGGGTGCTGCTGTCTCATGGGCGAGCCAGCGGATTCGTTGCGCCACCCTTTCCTCCACTGAGTCTGAGTACGTTGCTGCTGTGGAGGCTGGGAAGGAGGCGCGCAGGTTGCGCTTCCTGCTGGCAGAGTTTCAACTGCTGAGGAGTGAGGAGCCCACGACTCTCTTTGTGGACAACTCCTCCGCCATTTCAGTGGCAGGTGGCATGGGGCTCAAAGGGAGCCTCAAGCACATGGAGCGTCGTCACATGTGGCTGCAGCACATGGTCAAGCGCAGGAAGCTGCAGCTGCAGTACATCCCTACGAGCGAGCAGCCTGCTGACTACCTCACAAAGGCATTGCATTTCCCCGCCTTCAGTCGTTGCTTCGAGGCTGTGGGGCAGGAGTGAAGACCTAGACACTCCATGATGTGGATGGTGCCATGGCCTATCCATGGCTGGTGCGGTGCGCGTTTACACTTTGAGCGTGTTTCGTTTGTGTGTATCCCTTTGTTTTGTTGTGTATGTGTGCATGCATGCCCTGTGATTATAAAGGGCCTTGCTGTAGTATGGCAGGGGAGTGTTAGAGGGCCCTACGACAGCAAGGGCCCTCGATGACCTTTGACTTGGCAGGTCGGCGCCTAACGACGGAGTCTACTCGGCACCGACGCACGAGTTCGGTGGCGGTCATTAGTGACTACGGGTGACTGTGAGCTACTGCAGCGAACTCGGCGGAATCGGTGCTAGGAATGACGAGTCTTGGGGGTCGTAGGTGCCTTGCTTGTGAGGCACGCTGCTCACTTGCTGTGTTGGCAGGAGTAGCGTGCACGGTGAGACATTCCGGTGCCGAGTTGGGTTGGAAATGTGCGGGGCGCGTTCACCCACCTGCACAGCACTTTCGTGTGGGTTGGGTTACTCGCAGCGCCACGCAACAATTGTGCAACTCTTGCTTGCCTATATATGTTTGTGTTTGCTTGTGTGTTTGATAATTGATATTGCAATTCTACTTGGCCCAAATGCTACTTCAATTCTCACAAAGTCCTTAGAGGCAAACGCTACCAAAACTCTACCAAGTTGCTGGCGCAACATCATTCCCATAGCAGAGACTCTCTCGTTATCGCTACGCTCTCTAATATATTCCTTCACAGACCGCCTGCGGGTAGGAGAAACAATTTCTTCGTCGTAACAAATTATTTCGTATTCTCCTAATAATCTCTTGAGTCTGCCTCCGCGTGCCGGCAGAGCAAAATCGCCACACCAACATCATCAGCGATATCAAGCACTCACATGAAATTGCCAGCGTCAACGATGCAAGAAGCCTGCTTGAACTCTGATGCTCAACAAGTGATCTAGAGTGAGACATCAACAGCTACAGAAGAACGGTTGGAGCAGACGATACCCTCCGTGGGATGGGATGGGAGGGTTTCAGGTTTGCTCTTTGCGGGATGGGAAGGATTTCACGACGAACTTGACCGGGCTTGTGTTTCAGATTCAGACGATCAGATCTGATAGTCTGTGCGGCGAACTCGACCACAACCACCAGCATGCCAACAACTCTGTCGGATCGGATGCTTTCGCTTCGCCTCGCTCCACACGAACTCGGATGAAGCGAGGCACTTGCTGTGCAGCGGAGTCTCTTGGAGCAACCGTCCAGTTTGACAGTGGCCTCGACCGGTTGGCAACTGGGAAGGGAAACAGAGCATGCTTCGAAAACACGTGCTCCGTTGAAGTTTGCGAAACCTAACCAGTGATTCGCAACTGTTGAATGTTTGGGAGAATTGTCGCGTCGTTACTGCAGTGGTTGGGCGGGACAGATGGAGCCAAATGTTTACAGCGATTCTATTGAAGCACATGCTAATGGATGCGGGAGTGTGTATTAAAGCCTCATAATTTACAGTCCCAAACTCACCAACATTACAATGGTACACATTAACGTCATGTGCAATTGTAGTACGTTATCAATATTTTTGTACTAGCGCATTGAGGTGCTATATTAATGTGTCCTTGTATCATTACCGCTTAACAATAAGTTGGGAAGTTTAATGAATACAAATGCTTCATTCCTAACAAGCACCATGCTTGGGGAGTAATCCTGGCACGAAGCACAAAATGTCTATCAACGTACAGAAGTAAACATCAGGAAACATTGTCCTTAAGAAAAATCTAGTGTACAGTTGCAGCTGCGTTGATGCAGTGAATATCGCATCGCTACCGCCATGGCCTGACATTGTTTTTGCGAAGTGGGCGAGCCCGAAGTAAACCCTCCTAGTACCAGGGATGAAGCCTTGATGGAATTCTGAAGGATTCAATCCACACCAAGGCTAATTTTTCGCGTCATCAAAGACCCTTTGAGCTGCTATACATCTGTACGATGTACATCTGGGAATCCTCATCTTCGATCCCGTTCCCACAACTGGATCTCCCTTGTTTGGAGGCCCTGGGCACTGTTTTCTGGCAAATTTTTGGACCTCACGGGGCATCGTTGACTGCCCTACTGTATATGGGAGGGACTGTTGTGGGACGGATCGTGCCACGTAATGTTGGTGCAATGCTGAGGACAAATCCACCCACCACCACCAGCCATTTTTCTACTGTACAGCGCATGTTGACAACAGGTCAAGAGCCTGCATATTCTTCGTACAGTGATGTCACCGCCTCGCCGTCCGGTGATTTTGGAAATAGTTTCCGGGGCAAAATGATGCTGGAGCATACCAGACTGGACACCTCACCTTCCTATTATTAGACTAATGTCTCACAAATGGTTTCCATGTACAAATGTGGATGGGATTGGAGAAAGTTGTCTGGATAAAAAGGGGCTACGGGTCAGGGATTACGGGTCACGGGGGTAATGGAAACGTTCTTGTGTGGTACTGTACACAACCTGTAGTGTGTCCTTGCTGCGCAGGTTCTGGGCCCACCCAGACATTTCAGGAGGTTCATGTGCGCTTTTCAGGCGCGGATGTAAGGGCAGGAGAGTAACCGATTTGTCACCTACCACTAGCAACACAAGTGCATCTTTCGTACAATATACGTGATGCTAGAAGCCTATTGTAGTGCTTCCAGTCTAAACATCTTTTGTGGTTTGGCTAACAGTTTGTATGCTAGCCCTTATTGTAGGGGGTGTGCGAGTTCATGACTATTTTGAGACTATCAATTTCAGTACCTGAACACAACAGTTCTGTACGTATTCAGAGATTTGGTGATCTTGCTTTGGATGTTTTGAGCGCATCAGAAATCCCCGATATGAAAATGCGATTTGTTAGATGGTTCAGACTTCCACAATATACAAAGGTAGCAAAACTGTACCATATCACGATACAAGCTATCCATCCACACTTACATAGCTCTGTTGATCAATTCGAAGACATTTCATATTACAGGTCAACACACGCTCGCCCTTCATTGTTTTGAGGCACTGTCTAACTCAAATACACCCCCTTACCTCCAATACCTCCCTTTCCTTTACTCCGCCTTGCCACAATATCAGCAGCCACTAACCTCCCCACATCCGTTTGCCATCGATCTGCATAAATAATAAGGCCATTAGAAAGCATAAGTGATGGAATGGAGAGCATACCACCCACCACCCACCCACCCACCCACCCACCCACCCACCCACCCACCCACCCACACACACACACACACACACACACACACACACACACACACACACACACACACACACACACACACACACACACACAAAGGTAGTGATGGAGAGCATGCCACCTTTCTCACACCAAACCCCCTTCTCCTTTCTACCCCCTTTTCCCCCACCCTTATGCGCCCCCCCCTTCCCCCCTTCTCCACCCCCCCCTCTCCCACTGTTATGTGAGCTAATGGGTGTACCTTTTGTCGAGTCAAAGGATTCTTAGAGCTCCCTGTCTAAGGCGTCTCAAATCTCTTGCCACTCCATGCCTTCTTCTAGTCAATGTACCTTTTGTTGAGTTGAAGAATCCTTGAAGCTCGAAGCCTTGGGCTATGCATGGGAAGCACTCGAATCGACAACCCGTCCTCCCCCCACCTTCCTCCCCTCCCCCCCCCCCCCCTCCTACCCTCACTCCCCTCCAATGTGCTCACTGAGATCGTATGCAAAATGATCAGTACCTTTTGTTGACTCGAAGAATTCTTGAAGCTCCATGCCTTGGGCTATGCAGCAGCACGAGAAGCACATGATGCAAGGGTGAAGGGGAAATCGGCGAGAAATGGGTGTACATGATGGGTTATGGAACAGCACGGGAAGCATATGATGCAATTGAGTGTATTCAGGTGCAGCGGAAACAAAGGTGATATCAGAGTATTTGATAAAAAGGTGCACGTGGCAGGAAAGTGATATATGAGTGTGCGTACACTGCATAAGGTAAGGAGAAAGAAAATCGTCATGTGTGGAAATGACAGGAGGGTTGTGAAGGAGACAGAAAATATATGTCAGACAGAGAACATAACAGAAGGGTTGAGTGTGGAGGGCAGGAAAAAAAAAGAGTGCGAACCATTGGGACACCTCAAGAAGTTTTGAGAGGTAAGAAAAAAAAAAAACGAGTCCGAACCACTGAGACACCTCAAGAAGCAACAACACCACAGGAAAGCAACAGGAAAGCAGATGACAGAAGGGTTGTGTGTGTGGTGGGTGGGAGGTAAAGTGGGAAGCGTGACTCTCTTGATATGATCGGCTCCTGTATAGCTCACCTTGCTCGTACTCATGGGCTTGCAAAATCATCTCCAGCTGGTGTTTGGGAAGATAGAGTATCATGTGTGAGGATAGGTAAGTTGGAAACAGCAAAGAAGAAGAAAAACGGGGAGAAATGGAGGGAGAGTTTTGAGTTGATCTAACATCAGATTGTACTCATGTGCTTGCAAAATCATCTTTAGGCACATGACAAAATTTACACGGCTTGCTGCGGTTCGAGTCCTTCCCTACTCTGCAAAATCATCTTTAGGCACATGACAGAATTTCATGGTAATTGGGAAGATAGAGTTTCACGTGTGAGGATGGGCAATTTGCAAAAGACAAAGAAAAAGCAGAAAAAAAGGGGGAGAAATGAAGAGATGTGAATATGTGATTATGTTAGGTCACCTCTGAAAAAAATCACAAAAGACATGTAACACAGGTCAAGGAAGTGTGTGTGTGTGTGTGTGTGTGTGTGTGTGTGTGTGTGTGTGTGTGTGTGTGTGTGTGTGTGTGTGTGTGTCTCACCTTATCAAAATCCTTCACCAGTCGGGCTTCGTTTGTCTCGTTGGCTTCATACTCCTCCCAGAGAGCGAGCATCTCGGCTGGTGGTGGGGGAGAGGGGAGGGGGGGAAGCGGGTTGGAGGGAAAGAGTGGAAGGTGAGGAGAGCAAGGCAAGGAAGCTGGTGAGGGGAGTTGGGAGGAAACAGGGAGAGGGGGGAAGAGGAGTGGAAGGAAGAGCGGAGACGGATGGGCCTCGTTTGTCTCGTTGGCTTCATACTCCTCCCAGAGAGCGAGCATCTCAGCTGGTGAGGGGAGTTGGGAGGAAACAGGGAGAGGGGGGAAGAGGAGTGGAAGGAAGAGCGGAGACGGATGGGCCTCGTTTGTCTCGTTGGCTTCATACTCCTCCCAGAGAGCGAGCATCTCGGCTGGTGAGGGGAGTTGGGAGGAAACAGGGAGAGGGGGGAAGAGGAGTGGAAGGAAGAGCGGAGACGGATGGGCCTCGTTTGTCTCGTTGGCTTCATACTCCTCCCAGAGAGCGAGCATCTCAGCTGGTGAGGGGAGTTGGGAGGAAACAGGGAGAGGGGGGAAGAGGAGTGGAAGGAAGAGCGGAGACGGATGGGCCTCGTTTGTCTCGTTGGCTTCATACTCCTCCCAGAGAGCGAGCATCTCAGCTGGTGAGGGGAGTTGGGAGGAAACAGGGAGAGGGGGGAAGAGGAGTGGAAGGAAGAGCGGAGACGGATGGGCCTCGTTTGTCTCGTTGGCTTCATACTCCTCCCAGAGAGCGAGCATCTCAGCTGGTGAGGGGAGTTGGGAGGAAACAGGGAGAGGGGGGAAGAGGAGTGGAAGGAAGAGCGGAGACGGATGGGCCTCGTTTGTCTCGTTGGCTTCATACTCCTCCCAGAGAGCGAGCATCTCAGCTGGTGAGGGGAGTTGGGAGGAAACAGGGAGAGGGGGGAAGAGGAGTGGAAGGAAGAGCGGAGACGGATGGGCCTCGTTTGTCTCGTTGGCTTCATACTCCTCCCAGAGAGCGAGCATCTCAGCTGGTGAGGGGAGTTGGGAGGAAACAGGGAGAGGGGGGAAGAGGAGTGGAAGGAAGAGCGGAGACGGATGGGCCTCGTTTGTCTCGTTGGCTTCATACTCCTCCCAGAGAGCGAGCATCTCAGCTGGTGAGGGGAGTTGGGAGGAAACAGGGAGAGGGGGGAAGAGGAGTGGAAGGAAGAGCGGAGACGGATGGGCCTCGTTTGTCTCGTTGGCTTCATACTCCTCCCAGAGAGCGAGCATCTCAGCTGGTGAGGGGAGTTGGGAGGAAACAGGGAGAGGGGGGAAGAGGAGTGGAAGGAAGAGCGGAGACGGATGGGCCTCGTTTGTCTCGTTGGCTTCATACTCCTCCCAGAGAGCGAGCATCTCAGCTGGTGAGGGGAGTTGGGAGGAAACAGGGAGAGGGGGGAAGAGGAGTGGAAGGAAGAGCGGAGACGGATGGGCCTCGTTTGTCTCGTTGGCTTCATACTCCTCCCAGAGAGCGAGCATCTCAGCTGGTGAGGGGAGTTGGGAGGAAACAGGGAGAGGGGGGAAGAGGAGTGGAAGGAAGAGCGGAGACGGATGGGCCTCGTTTGTCTCGTTGGCTTCATACTCCTCCCAGAGAGCGAGCATCTCAGCTGGTGAGGGGAGTTGGGAGGAAACAGGGAGAGGGGGGAAGAGGAGTGGAAGGAAGAGCGGAGACGGATGGGCCTCGTTTGTCTCGTTGGCTTCATACTCCTCCCAGAGAGCGAGCATCTCAGCTGGTGAGGGGAGTTGGGAGGAAACAGGGAGAGGGGGGAAGAGGAGTGGAAGGAAGAGCGGAGACGGATGGGCCTCGTTTGTCTCGTTGGCTTCATACTCCTCCCAGAGAGCGAGCATCTCAGCTGGTGAGGGGAGTTGGGAGGAAACAGGGAGAGGGGGGAAGAGGAGTGGAAGGAAGAGCGGAGACGGATGGGCCTCGTTTGTCTCGTTGGCTTCATACTCCTCCCAGAGAGCGAGCATCTCAGCTGGTGAGGGGAGTTGGGAGGAAACAGGGAGAGGGGGGAAGAGGAGTGGAAGGAAGAGCGGAGACGGATGGGCCTCGTTTGTCTCGTTGGCTTCATACTCCTCCCAGAGAGCGAGCATCTCAGCTGGTGAGGGGAGTTGGGAGGAAACAGGGAGAGGGGGGAAGAGGAGTGGAAGGAAGAGCGGAGACGGATGGGCCTCGTTTGTCTCGTTGGCTTCATACTCCTCCCAGAGAGCGAGCATCTCGGCTGGTGAGGCGAGTTGGAAGGAAACAGGGAGAGGGGGGAAGAGGAGTGGAAGGAAGAGCGGAGACGGATGGGCCTCGTTTGTCTCGTTGGCTTCATACTCCTCCCAGAGAGCGAGCATCTCAGCTGGTGAGGGGAGTTGGGAGGAAACAGGGAGAGGGGGGAAGAGGAGTGGAAGGAAGAGCGGAGACGGATGGGCCTCGTTTGTCTCGTTGGCTTCATACTCCTCCCAGAGAGCGAGCATCTCGGCTGGTGAGGGGAGTTGGAAGGAAACAGGGAGAGGGGGGAAGAGGAGTGGAAGGAAGAGCGGAGACGGATGGGCCTCGTTTGTCTCGTTGGCTTCATACTCCTCCCAGAGAGCGAGCATCTCGGCTGGTGAGGGGAGTTGGGAGGAAACAGGGAGAGGGGGGAAGAGGAGTGGAAGGAAGAGCGGAGACGGATGGGCCTCGTTTGTCTCGTTGGCTTCATACTCCTCCCAGAGAGCGAGCATCTCAGCTGGTGAGGGGAGTTGGGAGGAAACAGGGAGAGGGGGGAAGAGGAGTGGAAGGAAGAGCGGAGACGGATGGGCCTCGTTTGTCTCGTTGGCTTCATACTCCTCCCAGAGAGCGAGCATCTCAGCTGGTGAGGGGAGTTGGGAGGAAACAGGGAGAGGGGGGAAGAGGAGTGGAAGGAAGAGCGGAGACGGATGGGCCTCGTTTGTCTCGTTGGCTTCATACTCCTCCCAGAGAGCGAGCATCTCAGCTGGTGAGGGGAGTTGGGAGGAAACAGGGAGAGGGGGGAAGAGGAGTGGAAGGAAGAGCGGAGACGGATGGGCCTCGTTTGTCTCGTTGGCTTCATACTCCTCCCAGAGAGCGAGCATCTCAGCTGGTGAGGGGAGTTGGGAGGAAACAGGGAGAGGGGGGAAGAGGAGTGGAAGGAAGAGCGGAGACGGATGGGCCTCGTTTGTCTCGTTGGCTTCATACTCCTCCCAGAGAGCGAGCATCTCGGCTGGTGAGGCGAGTTGGAAGGAAACAGGGAGAGGGGGGAAGAGGAGTGGAAGGAAGAGCGGAGACGGATGGGCCTCGTTTGTCTCGTTGGCTTCATACTCCTCCCAGAGAGCGAGCATCTCAGCTGGTGAGGGGAGTTGGGAGGAAACAGGGAGAGGGGGGAAGAGGAGTGGAAGGAAGAGCGGAGACGGATGGGCCTCGTTTGTCTCGTTGGCTTCATACTCCTCCCAGAGAGCGAGCATCTCGGCTGGTGAGGGGAGTTGGAAGGAAACAGGGAGAGGGGGGAAGAGGAGTGGAAGGAAGAGCGGAGACGGATGGGCCTCGTTTGTCTCGTTGGCTTCATACTCCTCCCAGAGAGCGAGCATCTCGGCTGGTGAGGGGAGTTGGGAGGAAACAGGGAGAGGGGGGAAGAGGAGTGGAAGGAAGAGCGGAGACGGATGGGCCTCGTTTGTCTCGTTGGCTTCATACTCCTCCCAGAGAGCGAGCATCTCAGCTGGTGAGGGGAGTTGGGAGGAAACAGGGAGAGGGGGGAAGAGGAGTGGAAGGAAGAGCGGAGACGGATGGGCCTCGTTTGTCTCGTTGGCTTCATACTCCTCCCAGAGAGCGAGCATCTCAGCTGGTGAGGGGAGTTGGGAGGAAACAGGGAGAGGGGGGAAGAGGAGTGGAAGGAAGAGCGGAGACGGATGGGCCTCGTTTGTCTCGTTGGCTTCATACTCCTCCCAGAGAGCGAGCATCTCAGCTGGTGAGGGGAGTTGGGAGGAAACAGGGAGAGGGGGGAAGAGGAGTGGAAGGAAGAGCGGAGACGGATGGGCCTCGTTTGTCTCGTTGGCTTCATACTCCTCCCAGAGAGCGAGCATCTCAGCTGGTGAGGGGAGTTGGGAGGAAACAGGGAGAGGGGGGAAGAGGAGTGGAAGGAAGAGCGGAGACGGATGGGCCTCGTTTGTCTCGTTGGCTTCATACTCCTCCCAGAGAGCGAGCATCTCAGCTGGTGAGGGGAGTTGGGAGGAAACAGGGAGAGGGGGGAAGAGGAGTGGAAGGAAGAGCGGAGACGGATGGGCCTCGTTTGTCTCGTTGGCTTCATACTCCTCCCAGAGAGCGAGCATCTCAGCTGGTGAGGGGAGTTGGGAGGAAACAGGGAGAGGGGGGAAGAGGAGTGGAAGGAAGAGCGGAGACGGATGGGCCTCGTTTGTCTCGTTGGCTTCATACTCCTCCCAGAGAGCGAGCATCTCAGCTGGTGAGGGGAGTTGGGAGGAAACAGGGAGAGGGGGGAAGAGGAGTGGAAGGAAGAGCGGAGACGGATGGGCCTCGTTTGTCTCGTTGGCTTCATACTCCTCCCAGAGAGCGAGCATCTCAGCTGGTGAGGGGAGTTGGGAGGAAACAGGGAGAGGGGGGAAGAGGAGTGGAAGGAAGAGCGGAGACGGATGGGCCTCGTTTGTCTCGTTGGCTTCATACTCCTCCCAGAGAGCGAGCATCTCAGCTGGTGAGGGGAGTTGGGAGGAAACAGGGAGAGGGGGAAAGAGGAGTGGAAGGAAGAGCGGAGACGGATGGGCCTCGTTTGTCTCGTTGGCTTCATACTCCTCCCAGAGAGCGAGCATCTCAGCTGGTGAGGGGAGTTGGGAGGAAACAGGGAGAGGGGGGAAGAGGAGTGGAAGGAAGAGCGGAGACGGATGGGCCTCGTTTGTCTCGTTGGCTTCATACTCCTCCCAGAGAGCGAGCATCTCGGCTGGTGAGGGGAGTTGGAAGGAAACAGGGAGAGGGGGGAAGAGGAGTGGAAGGAAGAGCGGAGACGGATGGGCCTCGTTTGTCTCGTTGGCTTCATACTCCTCCCAGAGAGCGAGCATCTCGGCT